GAATGCAAATGGGGTGAACTCTGGTACATCTGAAAGGTTTCAATTTGAATCAGCCTACCAAACTAGTTTTCTACTCATTGTGTTTCAAGCCATATTAATGAGTTTATGAGGGCATATAACAGTATTACCAAAATATTTATGATATGTGATGCAAAAGTGGAAAGGCAAGATATAAACTGTAATGAACTACAATTATAAATACACACAGATCATTAAGAGCAGTTGTATATAATTGATTTTCTTTTTTTCTCTAACCCTGCCAATTATATTTATTAGTGAAGTAATAATATTTTAAATAAAAATAACAGAATTATAAATAAACCGTAATTTTTAAACTTCTGTATATAATCGGGAATATATTGTATATGGAAGTCATCTTGTGAGTGTGACTTTTATGTTAAGATTTTCATGATAAAGTATAAAAATTAACAAGCGGCTGAGTGTAATGTTTAGCAATGAAGCCATCAATGATGATCTAATTAAAATATTTCATTTAAGAATAAGCTATATTTATATATCAGAAATACTTAACAGTAATAGAACAGTTTACTTTTTTATTTGCAGATGGTCTGATTTTCATAAAGACAGCCTTCATTTGATGGAGATCAGACTCTACAACCCAAATAGTGCTAATTGACAATAATTTCCATAACTTTATTCTAAGAACTAAAGAGTGAAAATAATCATGCCCTTTTATATCAATCTCCTGCTAAACTATAAGATAATTCTGAGTGTTAGAAAAATTGTTTTAGATTTGGTATGCACAGTATATAGCACAATGCGTGATTCATCATAAGTTTCTAAATGCTTATGAAATGAATGAGTGCATATTCTCCAAGGAAAATAATGTGTACCTGCCATCACACATGCTACTTTCTGTTCCAAATAAGGTTTAATGATCCTTAACTTTGGTATGATGTTGTCTCTCCTAATGACTTTGTGATTATAACTCTTACTTGAAAAATAGAAGCCCTCAGTGGATAATTAACAACAATCAAGATAAGCTTAAATATACCATAAATGTAAAGTCTCTATCATTAATACTTGTAGGAAATATATCTTGTGAGTGATGCCAGAGGCACATATCTTGTAGTAGGAAAGTTCTGAGAACCGTTTTTTCTGAGGTATTAATCTCAAACCAATCTTCCTGGACTAGTTACCTGAGCAACATGTGTGGCATAGATTTTCTGCAAAGGATGGCATGTATATTTTAGGGAATCATTCTCACAATGAGCCCATTATGCTAATAGCTAATGAGTTTCTCACATTTGAATTTTGCTTATTGTTTGTTTGGTTGGCTTTGGTCTTTTGAGACAAACTCAGGCTTGTCTTGTACTCACTATGAAGCCCAGCCTGGCCTCAAATTCAAGATCTTCCTGCCTCAGCCTCCCAAGTGCTAGGATTATGGGAATGAACCACCACTCCCACCTACATTTAAGTTTTTAAATTTCTCAATGGAATCAGTCTTTACAGTCAGTCCTACATTTATTTTTCTTTTCACACCCAAATATCAGTAGTCTATGGTATAATACCAGTAATAGTTTCACATAAAGAAGTAATATGACCATTTTAGTTGAGTTTTTAGAAATACTAATCTTATCGTCCATGTCTTTTGCAAAACTAAAGGCACCCTGAAAAAACATAGCTTACATAATGGAGTCAAATCATCACTTTAGTTCTAAATGGTCCAGATTTTGTAATCTATATATAAGTTTAGAGGCATTGAAAGAATTATCCAGCGAGTTTAAAACAATTAGAGAATGTTCCAAGTCTTTACAATGTAGGCAAATCTTATAAGATCCTTAAATATAAAGTGAAGATACAATGTAGTTAAGGGAAAAAAAATCAATGGAGACAGACAACAATGTTAATACAAATAGATTTTTAAACTTGTTAGTACAATTATTTCCCTGGGGAATAATTCATAGTTTGTTCCCTCTATGTGAAAGGACACCTAATTAAGAGATGACTTCCACTTGAGAAATCTTGGTATTAATTATTCATTAGGAGTAGGTAAGGTGCTTACTGTGTAGAAAGCATACCAATAATGTCTTCACAATTTGTTTTCATGTGGCTAGTTTTGAGGAGGAAAGTACATCTCATCATTTTCTCTAGGATTTGGATCAGAGGGTTTAGATTTTTTTCATCAAGACATTTCCATTTTCTAAAGAATAATCAATATTAAGGAATGTGGGCTATACATTCATTTGGTTTTAGTATGAATTAAACAGAAATTTCAAGCAATCTGTTCTGGATGAAATTTGCTGAGATGGCATATCCCACAAAACAGTTTATCTATCAGTGGTGGATCTAATCAGGGATCAACTCAAGTTTCTAATCCAATCAGCAGCTAATCTAATCAGTGCTTTATCCAATCAGTGATGATCTAATCTGTGGCTGATCTAATAACAGTGGATCTGATCAGTTGATGTTCCAATCAGTGGTTGATCTCATCAGAAAGTCAAACCAATCAGAGGCCAATCTGATCAGGGGTTCCATCTAATAACTGACTAATCTAATTGGTGGCCAAGGTAATCAGCATTAGTTATGCAGTGTCCAATTTAATCTGTAGTTTATCTAATCACCATACACACACACACATACACACACACACACACACACACACACACACTGCAACTGTGTGGAGATGAGGAGGTGATGGATGTGTTAATTAGCTTCAGTGCAATGGTCACTTTAAGAGTGAATATACTTGTGTTGTGCACTCTAAGTCTGTACAGTTGTGCAATGGCTAAATCATTTCTATTCAACCTTAAATTTATGGGTCGAATAGAAACATTCGGGAGAAACTTTATATAGGTAGTCATTTTGTTACCTTTGTTTATTCCCTCACCATAATTGAATTCTCTTTTTAGATGAAAGTTACTGTTTTTATAAAGAGATATTTATAGATATTTTCTAGATGAAGTGCTATCCAAGAAAGAACATTTTGCTTACATAAGGTAAAAGGTTTTTTGCCCAAGTAAAATAAGTTTTACATAAAATGTATTGAGTAACTGGAATCTGTCATTCCCAAATATATATTAAATGCATTAAAGCACATTTTCCAATTATTACTTCTATCAATAATAGCACCCACTTTTATACTTCACTATAATTTACAAAGTTTTAATACACTGCCATCAATTAAAACTCAAAAATATCATTTTAAAGATGTAGTAACTTGAGATTGAATGACAGGTATTAACAGAGATGACCAAGGTTCCCTGTCTAAGAATAACAGGGTCAAGAGCAAAACCCAAAACTTCTGGCCTTTGTTCAGGTTCACATTCTTTTTATATTGACTGATTCTCTCGCAGTGTGAAGAACTGATGTCACACCTTCTTCCTGTCTGAATTTCATTGTAGTACTTTTCCTTACTATGATAAGTTATGCCTCGTGTATGCCAGTGAATCCATGAATGGCCAGAGTTCATGAGCCGGGCACGGTTATTACAATGTCAACAGACACTGAGAAGAATATAACTAATTCACACTTGCTTTGTTATGACTGGTCAGTTTAAAGCCTGTGACTAGCAGCTTCTGGTTGAGTAAACATGAGTTACACAACAACTTAGGAAATATATCTGACGTTTAAGAGGGAAACAGAAACACATCAAAGCAACAAGAATACATTATTCTAAAAGACCTCTGGCTTTTCTTAGTAAATCTAAGAATAGTTCTTCAAATAGACAACTTTTTAAGATTATGCACCAATTATATATACATACCTAAATGTATATACTCAAAAAAAAATAAAAGTGGCAACATAGATTTTGGCATAAATATGAAGCTTTATTTTCTATAGTAAGCAAATGTACTTTCAGGAACATCAAGTCACACGATAACAAAGGAGGTTCTATAACATTTAAAACTGATAAGTTGTCTTACACCTCTGCCACCTCAGTGGATTAGTAATAATATAAGAAACTCAAATCTAAACTGAGCATTAATGTGCATTTTAATATACTTCATAAAATAAGAAAAAACAATATTAATCATGAACCATATAGGCAATCCCAAAGCCTGTGTAGAGTGTGGTGTTAAAACAGTAGGTTTAACTTCCTGAGCAAATCTTGCTAGAGGGAGTGCTGGCATGGATTCAATCTTAAGAGTTAAGTCTCTGCCCTCCAAAGTTGAGAGAAAACCAAGGTACATATGGGGAAGAATTATGACTATATTTATTTATACCTTTGAAACAATGTAATTTTATGATGTTAACATATAGACCATAATATTTTAGTTCTAGGTCAACAGTTCCATCTTTGAAAATATCAAAGCAAAGTAAATTATTTATCTTTAAGTCACTTCAAAGCCAATTAATCAAATATTGGCCCTATCCCTCTATTTAATGTGAAATTTTATTAATTTAATCCTCCCAGTTTCCTGCATGATATAAAATACTAACTTGTACTACAAGTGAGAAGGAAAGATTATAGGGGATACTGATTTTGTTAAAGTAACCTAAAATCTTTTCAGAAAAAGTGAATCTCAAATCACTTCAAATCTTTGTCAAACATTACAATTTTGTGTTAAAGTAAATTAGCCTTGTAGAAGAATTATATTTTAGATAAAATTATAATTAATGGTATATTTACCATCTTATATCATTATCACATTAAATTTTTATTACTTAAACAATTTTCCCAGTACATATTTCTATTCCTATTATTTTTTGTACAATTCCACAAACAGCTATTGAATACAATCATTATTTGTTTAGAAAGTACTTTCAGCAGAATGAAGTACATGTTTATATTCAATTGTTTATATTAGATTTTAAAGTCACCATTTACCTTGTTGAGCTGATCTTCATCACAAAATTATGTGATATGTAAAGAGATTTTATAATAATTACCTTGAATAGTTTGTTTCTTTTTCCACTGAGTTAATTAGATTCTTACTGTCAGAGTGTTGGACTTTAAGTCCATCAAAATATTTGATCTTATTTATATTTAAAATCTTAATTTATCAAGATGAATGCCAAAAAATAATCTCACTTACTTTGCTTTAGCTTCTGCATCCTCATAGGCTTTATTAGAAACATCATCCAGCCCTCCAATCAAATGCTTGAAAGAGCTGTCAAAGGAAAAATAGCGATTAGGGTAAATCCTGCACAAAGTAGCAACCCTGGCAACCTAGACAATAATATAGTGAAACAACTTAAAGGCAACTAAATAAAAATGAATGCAAATACTCAATCTAGAAACACTATTAAGAAACAAACCAGAAGTAGGTCTATCCTGATTCAGTTATAAACTTTTATAAGATCAGTGTGGCCTCCTCTAAACAGTTCAACTCTATAGTTCCCAGCACATAAGCCTATCTGGCAACCATAGCTGGAAAAAAGAAGTAGGTGGGATAAAATTTACGATTCACAATTAATGTACAACAAAAAGTTAGTGAGACACCTCATTGTAATACTAAAATAACAAGAAGATCTACCAGTTAAGGAATGCTTAATATGTCAGATATTATTAATTTAATTGTCATTAATATGTATTAATTCCAATCCTCAAATTGTAAAAGACAAGCATCATTATCTCCACTTAAAAATAGTCTTCAAAGGCAAAATAAACTTACAGCAGTTAGGAAAATAATTAACAGGAGAGAATTATTTTTAAAAACTCAATTCATTTGGGAAAGTGAAAATAAAGTGATTTTAGTGCAAGGCAGAAAGATTAACTTCTATCTACTCAAAACCTACTATGTACCTGGAACTGTGTTTATGTAGTGAAGTCTCATCTATTATGTATTTATACCATAACATACTGAGACAAAACTATATGGATATACACATATATCCATACTAGAATTCCCTTGAAAATTACTCAATACAAGATACATGACATTTTGGCAACCACTGAACTAGACTTTATGAGGAACAAAAGCAAGATCCATAGGCGGAAGCTAGATCTTCACATAATGACGCTTCTCTCACATAGCAGGCAGTGCTCAGTGTGCATTACAGGTATAACAAATAAATACTGGTCAATGACCCTATGAGTTAGTAGTAGTATCTCTATTATAGCTGAGAATATTAAGGCGTGGGCAGTTAAGAAATAGCCAAAGTCAAACAGCCAGTAAGTGTAACTGATTGGCAGTTGGTGATCATTCTCTTTCCTACTCTTAAAATCTATACTACACCTCCTATCCAAATCACTATGCCTTGCAGGTAGTTATGAAAATTCTAGCATTGTCTGGGATCTGGCTGGAGACTTTTAACGTACTTATGAAATTGCATTTTAACTTTATACCTCTATAATTTTTATTTATTTTTGGTAGTGCTGGGGATCAAACCCAGGGCTACTTGTATGGTAGGCAAGCACACTCTACCCCTGAGCTACATCCCAGCCTTTCTGTAACCTTAACATAACTTTGTGTGTTTGAACATTAGATAGTAAACTAGCTTTTTGTGCTTTGAGCATTCAACAATAAATCATGAATGAAAAATAAATAAATACATAAGGAAATTATATATGGAAAGATCCTGAAATATAGCAGGATATCTGGTGATATAAATTTAAAAGCTACTTAATTGCTTTCACTTACAATTTTTTGGAGAAACTATAAAGAAGAACATGACACCTTGGCTAATGGGCTGGCTGGGGGGGATGGAGCATCTATTATCTCAGACCCTTGGGTAATGATCTCATCTGGGAGGAAAGATAACTGGAGTGCTTCACTAAATACATAAGTATTTCTATACAGAGACCAAGAGAAAATTACCAGACAGACGCAGGGACTCAAGAATCTTATTCCAAAATATAGTTTTCTATAATGAATTGTATTAATGCCTGCTAAATTAATGAATAATAAGCAATAGTCCTTATAAAATTTTCAGAAATATTATCAATGATAAAATAAATGGTCAGTATAATTCCCATGACTGAGAAAGTTATTCAAATATGATTCATGCCATTGTTTGTTATATGGTAAATTTTCTCTTTTCCATAGAATATTTTGATTTTGCCTAAATTAGGAGAAAGTCTGATTTTAGAGAAGCTTTTCAAGGCTAGATGAGTCCACAACATTAATTGAAATTAAAATAATTACTGCGAACAAATAGATAATTATATGTGGTTAATTTTCTGTTTTCATAGATAATAACAAAATTTAAGCACAAGGAGTTTAAGTTACTTGTTCAAGATGACTGCAATTTATCAGCACATCCAGAATTATAACCCCTGTTCCCAAATACCTGCCTGCCTTGTCCCTTATGATATTTGGACATTCTTTTTATTTATTTAATTTTTTTTTTTGGTAGTGGTACTTAGGGCCTTGAGCTCACTAGGTAGGTGCTCTACCACTTGAGCCACACATCCAGCCCTTTGGACATTTTTAACACAACCCAATTCAAAATATTTGGTCTGAGGCCAGTCCTGGGGAAAAAAAGCAAGGGCCTACCTGAAAAACAAACTAAAACAAAAAGGATTAGGGTATAGCTAAAGTGGTAAGACCCTGAGTTCAAAATCCAGTGCCAACATACACACATACACATGCAAACTCCACAGATTAGTTTTTGAAAATGTACTTTGAAACTCGTATTATCAAATTTCCAAACAGAAGACCTTAGATGCAGAAATGCTATAGAGCTATAACAGTAGAAGCCATTAATTAATCACACCATGGAGTTTAAAAGTTGGGTATGATGAAAAATAAAAACATTTTGAACTTAATAATGAGTAGTTTTTACTTATTTTGTTTAAATCTTAGTCAAAATTCAGTCAAAAGTATCACATTAAAAAAGAATGAACAACAAAAGTGAGCAAAGCATGACTTTCTTCATATAAGTCTTCTTAAAATCTTTGATTTAAAATATTAATTTTCTATGTAGTCCTATTGACACAATATTGTTTACTACTAGGCAAAAAATAAAGGAAATTAATATGTACCTTTAAAAAGCCTCTATTTTTGTGAAATAAATTCCCTCTGTTTCATTTAAAATGTAATAGCTTTATTATAGAAAAAATTAAATCTGAAAGAAGAAATTAAAAATCACTCACAGTTCTCTAGCTAAATATGACTAGTGGAAATTTCTTTCCTTTTCCTTTTTTTTTTCTTTTATTCTCAGCATACCTTTGCTACTGTTTCAAGCTGTAATGACAAAGTAGCTATGATTTAATCTCACGATTTTTAACTTGATGGCATAAGTATTTAATTTTATTTTTAAAAACTTCCACATGGACTATTTTAACAGTTGACTAATAGGCCACTGCATTTTCATAGAATACCTGCCCATCTATCGCCACACACACACACACATTCAGATGAGGGCGGGAGTGATAACTATTTGTAGAAACATCTCTATTTGTACTTTAGAATATAGATGGAACATACGGAATTTCTTTTCAAAATAAACATACCCAGAATCATAATTTTGGCTTTTGGAATTGGAGCCATATGTCATTTGTAAACAATTTTTATTTTGAAGACAACTCTAATGAAAAGAATATAGCATTTCTGAAACATTAAATAATTCCATTCTGATAATATTCTAAATATCTTCAGACAAAAAGTCAATACTTATATTTAAGTAGCTTAATAAACTGTGAATTTTCAAGCAATATTAATAACTTCCAAATGACTGCCACTGTGTGTCTCCACACTGGAAAATAAATAACTTTAAGTCATCTTGATAAGCAAAATTGAAGGTTTTGCAAAATTTATCAGTCATGGTACAAATATGACTAATTAATGTTGTACTTTTCCCTTCACAGACCTTATGTAAAGAAACTAGCCGTCTTTGGACCCTTATCTAACAGGCATTGGAAAATATTTCTATAGATATCAGATGTCTCTCTAAACATTACAAAGCTCTCTTGACTAACAAAAGAGAAGAGTTTTGTTGTCATTGTTCTGATCTGAGAGAAATCCATAAAAAGATGTTTGACATCTTTATCAACTGAAGGAGTAGAAACCCTAAGATGATACTTATTAGTTATAACAAATAGAGGTAACTACAGATAAATTACTCAAGTGTCTTTTTAAACTCATAGTCATATACAGTACATATTTTAGGTTTGTAAAATAAAATAGCCACTTTCACATCAACTCTAGGCTTAATTTAAGAATTAATTAAGTAGACATTATTAAGTAAAGCCTTTAGGCATCTCAGCAGCAAACCTTAACTGCATACAAACTATTTATGTACACTTTCCTGTTAACTTTTCTTGAAGGGGAGGAAATCCAAGTTTAACAAGTCTTAACAGAGTTCTTTAAGGCAAGTGGATAAAATGACATCAATTGAGTACAAAGATGTAGAAAGAGGGCAAATGGGAAAGCCCCCTTTATATTTACAAAAGTAGTTTAATATACATTCTGGCTGGGGAGGGAAAAGAAAGCCAAGAGGAAGGAGGAAAAAATAATAGAGAGAAGGATTAACAGAGGAAGGGCGGTAGGAAGGAATGGAGGGAGGGAGGGAGGGAAGAAAGAAAAAAGGAAGGAAGGAAGGAAGGAAGGAAGGAAAGAAAGAAGAAGCAAGAAAGGGTGGAAGGAAGAGAGGGAGAGGGAATAATGACCATTTCACATCAACAATACTAACATTTATAGAAATTTTCCTTCATAAAGATTAGTTAAAATGCTATTCCGTATTTTAGAAAATTTGTTTTAGAACACTATAGTGAAAGTAACTCAGTGGGTAATAATTTCAGTTATTAAGATGTTTTCATTATTAAGCCAAAACATCCTTCTGAAAGGAGCTGATTACTCAGTGGTGTATCTAAAAAGTATATAATTTTGTTCTTCAGTTGTGATATGATGGGACTTCATCTGGAGAGATATGGGCTTTTAAATTACTAGAAAGGCAGTCCAAATAACAGAGACCAGCATACCATGCTGCTGAAGAATAACAGCATTTATGTTTTACTTTATAGTTTATTACTCATAAATAATATATGTGCTCAAAACTATATATATAGTTTAAGTCCCATGCTGTCCTATCCTTTATTTTGATGCTTTAAAAACAATTATTACTGATATTAATTGTATTAAATAAAAAGTTTCATTATGACATTTTCATACATATATATAATGTTCTTTGGTCACATTATGACATTTTCATACATGTATATAACGTT